AGTAATCCGCGAAAATACTTGCATTTTTCTCTGGCACTTTTGAGCTAACTGCAATCACTCTCTCATACTTGAAATGTGCCACGACCAAATTGGCACAACGACGCCCTCTGACCAACACGCAGGGCTTGTTGGGATTTCCTTAACTTGTTGGTAGATAACAATCTACCTACAAGCTCCTTGACTCTCTAATCGATTGACTTCTCAATTACACATATCACATATTCCTCGATATAACGTAACTTTAGGAACTTAAAAAATATTTGCTGACTAATTCATTAACATAAACAAATTTCAATATTTTGATCATTTTGGTTAGTTCATCCATCAACATTTGATAAGCTCCAAGATCGTAATAAATTTTCCAAATTTCAGAATTTGAATGATTGTTTTTAAAGATAAATGCGATGCCAAAAATATACAAAAAAATAGATCATGAAAATTTTTAAAAATTATATAAATTTTAAAGAACTGAAAAAAATCTTCAGGAATTTTAAAAGTTCCCGGCAAGGATTTATTAGCTGTTTTTGCTGAGTTTCGGCCATAATTAATTTTGCAGGATCCTGGATTAGGTAAAAAAAAAGTAGTTAAATTTGAAAAATGGAGAAATTTTCAAAATATTGGAGAAATCGATAAATTGCTCACGTTGAAAATTAGCAAGGCTTTAGAATTCAGACAAATTTTCAGGATTCTGGCAATCTGACAATCTGGTATATTAATCCAATATTATCTGGTTCATAAGATTTTAAAGTAGAGTTTAGAAGGCTTTTGATAATTCTGACCAACCCTAGTATTTTTAATTACTTTAAAATTCTAAATTGCCATACAATTTCAGAATTTTAAAGTAATTCTGAAAAAAGTTGATATGGAAGTGTGAAGCGAGTTCCTTGAGTATTTGAAGGAGGATTCCAAAATAATTCTGAAAAGATTTTCGTCATAAATCTGATGACAATTGCATGAATATTGTGTGGAGCAAGCAAATAGAATTCTGAAGAGATATCATAGAAATTCTTAAAATTAGTTTTAAGTAACGTTGATGATACATTCATGGAATTTCTGGAAACATTTACAAGGATCTGAGATCTGATAACACTAATAAACAAATACCATAAACGAACTGTATCTCGGATTGGTAAACCATCCCACAAATGGTTTAAATGATACCCGAACACGTCGTTAAGCTCTCTTTTATGGTTATATTTATTAGGGAAGAATTCAACTCAATACTACCTAGGACACATCAAAGAGTAAGCAGCGAAGTACCTGCTCCTACAGGAAATTAAATTTAAGTTTACCTAACTTCTAAGTGAAAATGTCTTCTTCTTCTTGTTCGCATTTCAAGCTTATTACATATCGGATATTAGCTTATTGCGTGCTCTCAACTTAGTGTTCTAGATGCACTTTCACAGTTATTAATTGAGCGCTTCCGATGCCTGTACCATTTATGCATGAGTATAATTGGGTGGCAAGTACAATCATACTCTATGCCCTGAGAAGTCGAGAAATTTTCCAATCCGAAAAATTCCTAGACCGGACTGGGAATCGAACTCAGCCACCTCCAGCATGGTTTTGCTTTGTAGCTGCGCCTTTACCGATTGAGCTAATAAATTTGGTAAAATGCGATGTTTTTCTTCAGTCGATTATTAGTACAAGACACTCAAGAAGTCTGCACATTGTAGAAGAAATACGCGTATCAAGGATAAGCGAATAAGGTAGTGGAATTAAATGGAAATTACTAATCCTTCTCTCTATCTCAACATCTAGCACTTTCTGGGAGATTTTCAATCTAATTTAGGTACACGGCGAATGATAAAGACCCAAATTTGAATTTAGTTCACTCATAATCGCCAAAAGTGCAGAAACTCCGCGATGAGTAAAATTAGTCTCATGTTGCAAAATTCCCGCATTTGAGAAAAGTAAAGATTGGATTCACTCAGTCTATTGGTAGTACTCCGAGACTGAATAAAATTTTCGTCAATTTCCTCATTTTCTGGGTTTTCCACAGGAAACCATGACACAAATTTACTCATCGCTGAGTTCCTGCACTTTTGGCGATTATGAGTGAACTAAACTCAAATTTGGGTCGTTCTCATTCGCCGTGTGTTCCACTGCTTAGGTTCCCGAGAATACTTAAATTCCCCTGTCTAAATCCCGTTAAAATCATTTTTGTATCTACTTAGAAACAACTTGATGCATCAGCTATTTGAAATTTGACCACCTTTAATTGAGTCGAGACGATTCAATTTAGGCAAAAGTGGATTATCTCAAAGTGAGGTGATTTTTCAGGGCAAAAGCCCAGAAAAAGAATCTCGAATATGAAGAAAATCCGTGAAAAATTAACTCATTCTAGGAGTATACTAAAAGAACCGAGGGAAACCTCTATAGATTTTCCTCATATTCGAGAAGATTTCCTTGGGCAGCCCGGAAAATTCAACTCACTTTTAAGTAAATCCACTTTTTCCGAAATTGAGTTGACTCAATTTTGACCGTGCAGAAGCTTTCGTACATGTAAATAAATAGCTATAGGTATACTTGAAGGCGTTATACTGTGCTTCTATATATTAAGGCTCTGAACCATTTGGTGGATTATTTTAACTTTTGGTTAAAATTTGACAGATGAAAAGTTATCGATTAACCCTGCTATCCGAGCATGGTTATTTCTGACAGACAAGAAGTTAAATTTTGACAACCGTGGCTCGAAAACCGGTCGATCGACAGCACGGGGATTTTCGAACATAGAAAATAACTTTCGAAATGTCACTTTTAACCACGAGTTAAATTTAACTCGGCAAATGGTTCACAGCCTAAATAGTGACTATAAAAAGAACGCCCAAATGTAGGCTGCGAAATTTTATTTCACGGCCGATGAGATTAACTCAAAATAGTGTGGGTTTTCACACAAAATCGCTAAAACGTTGGCCACTCATGCTGCGGATACACTTGTATGACAAACTATGAGCAAAAGCATTATTTGTGATGATGATGATGATGATGATGATGATAATGATAGTGTTTAAATATCGATAGATATCCGGTTATCTATCTTATAAATTTGCATTTCATCTAGTTATGATTATTGTCAATAATACTTACATTTCGATAAAGATGGCGCTCCCTATTCTACCATTTATGTGATACCAATCTTCACAGAAGCCAACCTTGAATCGTAGACCAGGTCCATTAACAATACACTCGTTCCGAGAAGGGGCTCTATGGTACCACTCATACTGTATGGTCATCATCTTCTTCTTCAGGTTCACTCACCACCCGGAATGAACGCTCGGTGCTTCATAGATTTGATATGGTTAGTAATATCAAATAGTGCTACTTGCAAACGAAAAAGAGATACAACCAGGATTAGTATTTTAAGTAATAGCCTCGTTTGAATACTCAACTAACCATATCGTATCCCAGTGACATTCTCTCACTCTAAACCTACATTTAAAGTTATTTTTGTACATGGTATCTTGGATACTCACACAAATAATATATATAGGTAAAGCTCAAAAATACTGTTTTAAGTGCTAGTACTTTATAAACATCAAGCTGACCCATATAGAACCCTGCCAACCCACGGCGCCTGCACGGTGATGTTGGCCATCAGAATGGTTCATCGGTTACGAAGTGGAATACTCCTCAAACTGAAGCGATACATTTCTCAATGTTTCAACTTTATCCTAACGTAAACTTAATATTATCACCATATGGTCGTCGACACCCGAAACCCATCCCCCACACAAAATCAAATAAAAAGGTTTCTGTGTGGCAAGCAAACACGCATTAAATGTTTAAAAAAAAACCCATGGACACATTTGTACAATGTTTGTAGAGAGCTCATAATTTATTATACAAATAATGCTCATGCTCATAGTTTACCATACAAGTGTATCCGCGCCAATGAGATCTATTTTCCTCGCTTTACCTCGAAGATCGACGACAATTTTACGCAGTTTAGGAGTACCTAACCGACGTTTTTGCGCGTTTTCGCGAACGAAACTGCACGGACGATTAAACCGACTAAAATTTGATTTTCGTTTACCAAAATTTGCAAAACGTAGGTAAAGACTGAGTAATATTTTTCTCGAATTTCCAGGAAAAGCTTTTCGAATATGAGGAAAATTTTACTCACTCACTGAGAAATCCCACTTGAGTGAAATCCGACTCAAATTTGATGCGATGACAACTCAGATCTATTGATTAGCAAACTGCCCAAAAAAAAACGCTGGGTAGGCCTTTTTACGCTCTTGAGGAAATTATTGTATTAATTGTGTTTTATATTATTGGCTAAACTGCTACTTCAGCCTTATCGCCAAGCCACGTAAAAATATCTGTGCTTTCAACGTAGACAAGCCAACAATACATTTGGTAGCTATATAAACCTTACTTTGTTGTAGTAATAAATCGTTAAGATTGCATGATACGAATATGTAATCACCTCACACACGAAAAAGCGGTAATGTTCGATGTATGCTTAGTAGAACGGAACTAGATCGAATCCCTATCGAGATTGAGCCTACCTAAGTAGAAGTTTTCCAAAAACTACACGATGAATTAGAACGACCCAAATTTGAGTTTAGTTCACTCATAATCGCCAAAAGTGCAGGAACTCAGCGATGAGTAAATTTGTCTCATGGTTTCCTGTGGAAAACCTAAAAAAAATTGCCGGAATATAAGGAAATTGACGAAAATTTTATTCAGTCTCGGAGTAGTACCAACAGACTGAGTGAATCCAATCTTTACTTTTCTCAAATTGGGGAATTTATCCCTGGAAAATCCTGTGAAAAAATGAGGCAAATTTACTCATCGCTGAGTTCCTGCACTTTGTGATTTATGAGTTGGGTCGTTCTCATTCGCCGTGTATGCTCAATTGACAATCAATTCCATTCCAGATAAATTTGGAGAGTTTTTCTTTCATCAACCACGCAAGCAGCTGTCTTTTTACCAGATTTATTGTTCAAATAATAAGTAGCGTAAACGGCTGTTTTTTTTTTATGAATTCCATTAAGATTTCCTGCGCACTTTCCGCTTAGCGTATTTCTGCATGCCAATGTTCATATCCTTTCAATAAACTGCTTCTTAATATTTATAGGTATCGTATGCTCTAAAAATTAGAAAACTCTAAAAAAAAACTTCTACAAAAAGTTGGACCGATACTGTTTTTTGTAATGTACTAGTTAATCGTCAAGGTATCCAGTCCAACAACCTTTCAGTACTTATACCTGCTTTTTTTGCGTCCAAAACACAAGAACAATTAGCTGATTGTAGTTTTTTTTTGTAATAAATGAATACAATTTTCCTTCCATCATGTAAAACGAAACTGGATATGAATCAGACTAATACCAGTAGAGCAGAGTCGACTTAAGGTTCTTCGTAGAAGAAGTATTGACCGGCGCGTTTCTGCTCTGAATCCTGTAAAAATAAAAACGTGCAATTAGGTGGATTCCAATCGCCTTCAACAAATCGATTGCCATACCTTAACCGAGTTGGTCTTGTTGATTCTGGGTCTGAAATTGTTCGGGTCCCGTCGGAATGTTATCCCCAGCAGCTCTAGGAACCGGTTCATTCCGTTCAGCAACGATTGAGGCGTATGTGCAGTGGTATCGATCGATGGTTTTCCTTCGAATACAATAACCCGATCCGCGAGGTAGGTTGCCATGATAAAATCGTGCTCCACCACGAAACCGGTCTTCTTGGCGTGCAGAATGTATCTAAAAGTGGAATCGAAATAATTTAATTCGACTGCCTACAGCTCATACAGTTTGGGTTTAGAAACATACCTCTTGATCACCTTTGCCGCGATGAGACGTTGCTCGGAGTCCAGATAAGCCGAAGGTTCATCGATTAGATAGACGTCAGCTGGTTTACCCAGGCACAGAACAAGAGCTACACGTTGCAATTCACCTCCAGACAGATTCTGCACCTCCTGGTCCATAATTTCTTCTATCTTCATTGGCTTCATCACGTCGGCCATAAACTGCGGATGCACGTAGGCATCGCGGATCTTCTCGTGAAGCAACCAACGTACCGTACCTTGACTCTTGGGCGAGATTTTTTGGGGCTTGTAAGAAATGTTCAGACAGGGCAACTTTTCGGATTCTTCATCCGGTTCTAGATTACCAGCCAACATACGGATGAAGGTAGTCTTTCCGGTACCGTTTTCTCCGAGAAGCACAATGATTTCAGAATCGCTGAACTGACCGTCGTCCACGGTTAGCATAAAGCCACCGAGCTTCTTCTTCATCGATGGATAAACGTAGTGGCAAGTTCGCTTGATTTCCTCTTCCGAAGCCGATTCCGAAACCTTAAAGGTCAGCGATTCCGTACGGAAACGCATATTCTCGGTATGGACGTAACCATCCAAGAAAATGTTGATGCCTTCGCGAACAGAGAAAGGCATAGTGACGACACCGTAACATCCAGGAACTCCATATAGACAGCAAATGAAATCAGACAGATAATCCAAAACAGACAGATCGTGCTCGACCACAATGATAAACTTGTCCGGATGAATCAACGAACGAATCGTCAAAGCACAGTTCAACCGTTGCTTAACATCTAGATAGGAAGACGGCTCATCAAACATGAATATGTCTCCATCTTGGATGCACACCATGGCGCATGCAAAACGCTGTAGTTCTCCTCCGGATAGAGCTTGAATTTCACGATCGCGAATGTTATTCAGATCCAACATATTGCAAATTTCCTTTTGATTGTTCCGTTCATCCTTTTTATCCAATAATGCAGTAACCGTTCCCTTGACCGCCTTCGGAATCTGGTCCACATATTGAGGCTTGATCAGAGCACGTAGACTATCTTCCAGAATCTTGGTGAAATAGTTCTGCAATTCGTTCCCTCGGAAGTGAGCTAAAATCTCACTCCAATCCGGAGGATCAGAATAACGCCCCAGATTTGGCTTCAACTTTCCGGCCAAAATCTTCAGTGCAGTAGATTTACCGATACCATTCTGACCGACCAATCCCAGCACTTCTCCGGGACGTGGAATCGGCAAACGATGCAGCTTGAACGAGTTCTTCGAGTAACGATGGGTGGTATGTTTATCCAGATTACTGGGGATGTTGATGATGGTAATAGCCTCGAATGGGCATTTCTAAAACGACAAAGAAATGTATGAATCGAATATACAATACTCCGCTCTTCCACCCATTTACTTACCTTTACGCAAATACCGCACCCGATGCAGAGTTCCTCCGAAAGAGACGCAATTTTCGAGTCCATTGCTACCTCGATACAGAGCTTTCCCATCCGGACCACCGGACAGGACTTTTTGCATTCCTGGCGGCATCGCTTCGGTTTGCACTTGTCGGAGCTGACAATGGCAATACGAGTCTGCTTGTCAGTCTCCTCAGCTGCTCGGTTTCGTGACATTCTGTGGAGAAGTGAAAGGAAAACGCAAAAATTTTCTCTTTAGCCAGCTGGACACATCGTTATAACCTCACTTCAGAAACCCCCCCTAAGATCGATTGTTTACGACCCTTTTGATTGACTTCCCAACAGAACTTTAACAGATTCCAGTTCCAGACCGATCGCACCATACAATGAAATATTCAAAGTTATTATTAGTGATCACCTACCTGTCGAAATTCACGGATTTCAGACAGAAACGAAAGTTCGTGCGTGTCAGACGAAGTTTTCGCTGGCGAAAAAGATCACAGCAAAATACAGTGACAACCCAGTTGACGTTTGTCTACTCCCAATGACAGCTATGAATGCAATTTTTTATCACGCATGCACATGCACATAATATTCAAGCTTCACAATGCATGAGGTCCTAAGTAACAGTGATCGATTCTCTTCATTGACTTTTTCTTTCGTTAATATTTTGGGTTCAAAACCGTTTCTTGTCGTTTTTGTCATATTAGAAGCTAGATAATAGCTTCTTTCATCGATCTGTCTGCTGAAAATAGCTGGGAATATCAACATGGCCATGAGGATGCGAAGAGAAAGTCGACGAAGAGAATCTGCCAATGTTACTTAAGACCTAATGCATTGCTCAGCTTGAATATCAGTAAAAAGTGCATTGATTGCATCGGTGCCTTATCGGCCATTAATTTAGATGATAACATAAGAGCAAAGCTTGTAGTACGTACCCAGAATTGGGTTCTTTTTAATACCCCGTTCACCTAACAGCGTATATCACGTGTTATATAACTATTTTAAATAAGTGCGATGTGTAGGAGCGAGCTGTCAGTTTGTTAGTTTAGTGTCAAACAGTGAAGTTATTATTTTGCCTTGAATCTTGATTTAAAAATCGAGATGAAAGTCTTTGGGTTCGAAAAAAAATATCGTGTTCAGAAAATAGGTTTTTTTTAGATGATATGTAAAATCAGATATATTTTCAAAATCCATAAATTTAGCCCAGATAAATTTAGTTTCATACACCACATTGAAGGATACACTTATTCATACTAATTTATGTGGAATGTGCAAGGTTTACCACTTTATTCACCCCAGGATTCACCCCTTGTTTGTTGTGTACACCTTTGTACATATATTCATCTTGGCATGAGGGTGAACAATCAGAACAATACAATAAACATAAACAGAATACAAAGTTTCGCTACCGCGTTCTGATCGGTGTTTTTAGTGCTCGACAATAAATAAGATAAACGTTTAATCTCACGTGTGCTCTTTATTTTTCCACAACTGATCCGAATCCGTTCGCTGTTGTTCTGTTTCGCATTCCTGCCGTCAGGTTATGGGCCCAGTAGGATCGGATCGAAAAGTGAAAACGTTGAAAAGTTTTGGCCCGGTGTGACGCCATTCTTTTGTGCTTACCGCTACGTGCGATGTGTGGAAAGAACGTTCGAGAAGGACTCGAGCCGCGAGTGTTGTTCTTTTTTGATTGTGAGTTGAAAAATTAAATCGAAATGACGGACGCGAAGTTCTCGGTTCCAAAGCTCAATGGAACGAATTGGGCTACGTGGAAGATACGAGTGGAAAGTTTATTGTGTCGGGAAGATTTGTGGGACGTTGTTGTCAGTGATTCCCCGGCGGAAAATGCTCGTACTGCGGTATGGAAGACGAATGACCGGAAAGCAAAAGCCACGATCATTCTGCTACTTGAAGACAGCCAGCTCCCCATTGTGAAGAACTGTGTACTTGCTCACGATGTATTTGTGGCGCTGAAGAACTACCATCAAAAGTCATCTCGTTCAGTGCGCGTTTCGCTTTTGAAAAAGCTTTGCTGGACAAATATGTCGGAAGGAAGTGATACCGAACAGCACCTAGTGGAAATTGACGAGTTGTTTGACCGTCTTGACGCGGCCGGTACAGTGCTTGATGCAGATACGAAGATCTGCATGTTGTTGCGTAGTCTGCCGCCTTCGTTCGATGGGTTGGTTACCGCTCTTGACAGCCGCGCCGGGGATGATGTTACGATCGATGTAGTGAAATCAAAAATCGCGGACGAATACCACCGGCGGCTTGAGCGAGAAAGTGTTTCAGTGAAATCCGAAAAGCCGATGCGTTCCGCCGAGTACAAGTCGGGAAGTAAGGAGACCCGTATTTGCCATTACTGTAATAAACCGGGGCATCTCCGAAGAAATTGCCGGTTGCTGAAGAAAGAAGAAGGAAGTTCCTCCAAGAAGGAGAGAAGTGATAAAGTGAAGGCTAAAACTGCCCAAAGTGACAACAGAGGAATTGCGTTTATCGTTTCGAGTGGAAAGTGTCAATCTTGGATCATAGACAGTGGTGCTAGTGCACATATGACGAACAATAAGTCGTTTTTTACCTCCCTGAATGAGTTTCCTGGTGGCTGGATCACCATGGCCGATGGGAACAAGACTCAGATCCTTGGGGAAGGTAGTGGCGTTATACACGGTATTGACGGTAACAATGAAGTGATCAAGATTGACATAGAAAATGTGAAATATGTGCCGGGATTGTCGACCAGCCTAATCTCTGTGGAGAGGCTGACTTTGAAGAACTTCGAAGTGCATTTCAACAATGAAGGCTGCAGAATCGTGAAAGCTGGGACTGTCGTGGCGACGGGTTTCCGCCATGGTGGTCTGTATCACCTTAGAGTTGCTGAATCATCGTTGCAGGCAACATCGGGACAGCACAAGGAGAACTGTCAACATCAGTGGCATCGGCGTTTAGGGCACCGCGACTGGGCGGCTGCAGAGCGCATCGGTAAGGAACAGCTTGCGACCGGAATGCAGGTGAGTGACTGTAGTTTAAAACTTGTGTGTGAATGTTGTCTAGAGGGGAAGGCATCCCGTGCCCCATTCCCAGAAGTAACCACAAGGAAGTCGTTACAAGTCCTTGATATTGTCCACACGGACCTTTGCGGCCCGATGAAAACCGTCACTCCTAGTGGAAACAGATACGTGATGCACATCATCGACGACTATAGCAGGTTCACAGCCACTTACCTGCTGCAGCACAAGTCGGAAGCAACGAAGAACATTGTCGACTATGTGCGTTGGGCAGAGAACAATTTTGGACGTAAACCACGGGTTGTGCGCTCCGCTGGCGGGGGAGAATTTGATAATAAGCGACTGCGGAAATTTTACATGGAAGAAGGTATCACTCCGCAGTATACTACCGCGTATTCCCCCCAGTCCAACGGTGTTGCCGAAAGGAAAAATAGATCGATCACGGAAATGGCAACATTCATGCTCCTTGATTCCGGTCTTGAGAAGCGATACTGGGGCGAAGCTGTTCTTACCGCAACGAATCTCCAGAACCGATTACCATCTAGGTCTGTGCCGAAGACTCCCTACGAGCTCTGGTGGGGACGAAAGCCGGATCTGGGACACCTTAGGATTTTCGGTAGCGTTGCGTATGTACATGTGCCAGGTATGAAGAGGAGCAAACTTGACGGAAAGGCTCGTAAACTCACATTCGTGGGGTACTCCATGGAACACAAGGGGTACAGATTCGTTGACCGAGAAACTGCCAAAATCACCGTTAGCAGACATGCCCGATTCTTGGAACTCGGGAACGGAACATCCTCGGTGGAGTTCCCAGTTTCTATGGAGCAAATGGAAGTTGAAGACGACATAGAATTGCGGCCGTTCAAGGAGGAACCCAGTAATGAGGAAGATGAGAATACCAGTTTGATCAACGACGAGTACTTTGACGCATCAGATGACGAAGCTGAAGGTTCGGACCTGGTTCGTCGGTCGCAGAGGGGAAACAAAGGAGTGAATCCCCACCTCCTTGAGGATTACGTCGTAGGAATAGCAGCTTGTGCAGTGCAGGAACCTGTAAGCTACAAAGAAGCTATGAAGAGCTCAGAGTGGCGTGGCGCAATGACGGAAGAATTGGATTCCCTTCGACGAAACGAAACATGGGAGTTGGTACCGCTACCTGCAGGCCGTAAAGTGGTGGGATCCAAATGGATTTTTAAGGTAAAGCGTAACGAAGAGGACAAGGTGGTGAAATTCAAAGCCAGGGTGGTAGCACAGGGCTTCACCCAACAGTTCGGGATAGATTTTGATGAGGTTTTTGCCCCGGTGACACGTCAAGCCAGTTTGCGGATGTTTCTCACCATTACTACAAGCCAGAAGTTGGTGGTTCGGCACCTCGACGTTAAGACAGCCTACCTCAATGGATTGCTGGAAGAGAAAATTTTTATGCGGCAGCCACCGGGTTCCGTAGCTCGAGGACAGGAGGAGTTAGTGTGCCGCTTAAAACGAAGCATTTGTGGCCTTCGTCAATCGTCCAGATGCTGGAACACAAGGTTGAAGAGTGTTCTCACGAAGCTCGGATTCAAGGCATCTACCCAACAAACAATTCAAGTTGATCAACAGCTGAATAAGCTATTTTTTAGCTGAAGAAGCATGTTCTTGCCTGAATAAGCTCTTATTCAACGCCCAATGTTTGTTGGGTAGTGCAGATCAGTGTTTGTTTGTGAAGATGGAAGGTGAGACAAAAGTGTTTCTGCTCGTATATGTGGATGATATGTTGTTATCTGGAAAATCGGATGCTATCGTGAAGAAGATCGTTCACAGTCTGTGTAACGAGTTCGAATTAACGGATCTCGGTGAAGTTCGCCATTTCTTGGGAATAGAAGTGCTACGTGGAGAAGATTGCTACAGGATACGGCTGAAGAATTACATCGAGAAGCTCATTTCGAAGAACGGTATGCATGAAGCGAAGACTACTAGATCGCCGATGGATCAGGGTTTTTTGAAAGATGGAAACAACAGTGCAGTGTTCGAAGATGCTACCAAATATAGGTGTCTAGTTGGTGGACTGCTGTACTTGTCGGTTGTTGCTCGACCGGATATTGCTGCGTCCACGGCGATTCTTGGTAGAAGTTTTTCGGCTCCCAGCGAAGCAGATTGGACCGCTGCTAAACGCGTTCTGAGATATTTGAAGGCTACGTCGGATTGCTATCTGCGTTTAGGTGGAGCTGTCGATCAAGGCTTAGTCGGGTATTCCGATGCAGATTGGGCGGGTGATCCTGCAAGCAGAAGATCAACGTCAGGATCAGTATTCTACTATCATGGTGGCTTAATCTCGTGGGCTAGCCGCCGTCAACAGTGTGTTACCCTTTCATCCATGGAGGCAGAATATGTCGCCCTGTCAGAAGCCTGTCAAGAAACTGTGTGGTTAAGACAGCTGCTAACTGATTTCGGTGAATCGCTGGGAGATCCGACAGTGTTGAAAGAGGACAACCAAGGGTGTTTGGCATTCGTGAAAACGGAGCGATCGAGCCGGCGTTCCAAACATATCAGTACGAAGGAAAAGTTCATCCAGGAGCTATGCGAAAAAGGTGATATCGTTTTGGAATATTGTCCCACGGACATTATGATCGCCGACATCATGACGAAGCCCCTGGCTCCGGAGAAGCATAGGCGCTTTTTCGAGATGCTGGGATTGGAGAAGAATCAGTGAAGTGGCAAAGCGTTGAGGAGGAGTGTGGAATGTGCAAGGTTTACCACTTTATTCATCCCAGGATTCACCCCTTGTTTGTTGTGTACACCTTTGTACATATATTCATCTTGGCATGAGGGTGAACAATCAGAACAATACAATAAACATAAACAGAATACAAAGTTTCGCTACCGCGTTCTGATCGGTGTTTTTAGTGCTCGACAATAAATAAGATAAACGTTTAATCTCGCGTGTGCTCTTTATTTTTCCACAACTGATCCGAATCCGTTCGCTGTTGTTCTGTTTCGCATTCCTGCCGTCAATTTATCGAGCGTGGAAATCTGGACAATTTCCACAGCAGTACAGGCACCAAAAGAAGGTGGTTCTAACAAAACAAGCCAAATCGCTATTGGTTGAAACATCTAAGTCAGTTTATTGCTAGGTTTATTCTTCGGTTTTTTCATTACTGGTTACAGGCTGGTATGCAGGAATAGAACACATACTGCAGAAACGGAAAATGTCACCTGCTGTAAATATTGATTATTTTTGGTTTATCTTTAAGTGAAGAATTCTAGAATTTAAAAGATGTCTGCGCATCTAGAGAACTTCATCGATGGATACAGATATAGTATATCCTTTTTAGTTTTGTCTCGCTTAGGAAGAAACATCTCAGGAAACTTTTCAACATCAGGCTTTCATAATTAGATCATATTATTGCCACAGTTTAATTCAGAGAAAGATTTATCTAAGATTGCTCAATCCGCTGAACGAACTATGCAGATGACGGATCGATATGCCAACCATCATGAGCCTATCGGACTGAACAAACTCTACGGAAGAGACTGTGACTCTGGTTGCAGATGCATCTGCAAACTAGCCCGATCGTTTGGTATCAGGTTGTTGTTGATGACGGGGAGGTTCATGATCCATGGAATATGATGTATAGAATTGTGTAGTAGATTCTGCGGTAATATAAGTACTCATCCTAATATGTAGCTACACAGCAAAAAAAATGTAATATCGATCAATGTAATTCAAGCTGATGTATGAAATAATGATGTAATAGCAAAAAGCAGATACAATATTAAATCATGTAATTTTAAATGGATGTAATTTTGTTCGCAAAATCGATGTACATGCAGTGATTGGACATAAGCCTTGATATAACTCGTATAAAGTCGCGGCTCATGTCCAACCCTTTGAACCATGGTTTGTTCGACACCTGTGGGAGAATAGAATGTAACCATCTTCCCAATTCACCATCATTCCATTTTTGTTGCCAACTGATGAGGACTTGCTGGCGAGCAATGGAGAAAAATTCGTTGAAGGCGATTTGTCGCTCAAAAATATCGCCTTCCATAGCGCCCACCTTAGCCAATGAGTCCGCTTTCTCATTACCCGGAATTGAGCAATGAGATGGGACCCAAGCTAAGGTGATAGTATAGGAGCAGTTAGATAAAGCACTCAGTTTAGATCGTATTTCAGGCAGGAAATACGAGGAGTGCTTCATCGGCCTCATTGAACGAATAGCCTCCAATGAGCTAAGACTATCCGTAAAAATGAAATAATGGTCAGAAGGTAGTGAGGCAATTCGCTCTATCGTACAACGTTATATTACACGACTGATGGATTGACCTGGTTGCAGCAGTTTGGATGTAACTTTTGATTACTGAGACAATTTTGTTAGTTTTTAAAACGAATAGCTTTAAAATGATCTTCTTGTGGAAACGCCAAGGGAAACATTGACTCAAATGTTAACTTTTCTTTTGAAATCCAATATCGCGTCCGTTTATTCATCATCCACATGGAATATTTTGTTTTCTGTATCGGGTTTGCAGTGATCCGGCTGGTGCTTCCATATATTTTTGGTGAGAAAAATTAAGATCTATTAAATTGTCCTAGCGGTTATGATCTTCCGGATTTTTAATGTGTGGTTAGTTCAGCTGAAAATCAGTTCAGATCTGTAGATAATCGAAAAATTCGTCATCTTCCGATGGAAATTTGCAAGTTGTGCAATAAAATGTACATTGTTTTCACTTTTAAAAATCGTCATAGAGATGTAAACAAATGGATTGGATGACATTTTCTTTAAAAATTGGCTAGCGCACTCTATATTGATGGTGCATGGAAAGAGCCTAGGCTTGAATTCTAAACAATGAGTAACGGTTACTCACCGTGTAGACGAGACAGCGAGTGAACTTTACACGCCCACCACCACATTTCTTTGCATCCATTGACGAGTGCACGGATGGATTTGAGGGCCCCGCTGTTGTGTCACTTTTTGTCGAGTGAGTGAACTCAAATCCATCCGTGCACTCGTCAATGCTTTCGTCCATAACAAACTCTGTTCCGATTAGTACCGGTGTCAATTTGTTTTTGGCCGATCAGGCTCTCGAGATTGCACCACCAACACTAATAAACGGTTCATTTTCAGCAAATTCCAATTTTTGTCAACACGACAGTCATCTGTCAAAAAACTGATTCTTCCCCCAGGTGCGTTGAGTTCAGCAGAGAAAGGCCAAAATTGCCAACACTCGAGTGATAATTTGCGTTTTCAACTAACAAATCAGCTATCAAAATGGTTGAATCCAAGTCGGAAAAAACGGAAATCAACAAGGAAAACCGGGATCCATCGAAGGAGATGGAGGTTGACGAGGATGAAGACGCTCCAACCAAGGTTTTCACGATTGAAAGTGAGTTAGGTTTTCTTGTTTTTTGTTTTGTTATTCTTATCCATATTAAACGATTGAAAATCATTTCAGTTTTGCGTGTGATCAAGGATTTGCAGCAGCAGCATGGTCTCCGTCATGGGGACTTTCAACGTTACCGTGGGTACTGCTCTCGCCGAGTCAAGCGTCTGAGGAAGACATTGAATATCCCTCAGGGAGATAAGAGGCATTACAAGAAGAGGGATGTGACACTGGCAAATCTGGAGAAGGAGAATTCCGATGAGCGGTTGATTCATATTCCGTTGATGTTGGCCGAACGTGCCTGGGCTTATGCTATGCAGCTTAGGCAGGAATCGAACACGGAACTTCGGAAAAAGTTTCATTTAGTTGGAAAGTTGAGGAAGGCAACGATTTATGCGCTACAACTGCAGGAACTTTGTAATTCAGAGTTTTGCGATGCTAGGACCAAGCTTGAGGCAGAGGCTTACTCGGCTTGGATTCATGGCTCGTTGCATTTTGAGCTTTCGCTGTGGAAAAGTGCTGCGGAGAATCTGAAGAAGGCTCAGGTTATTTACGAAAACTTGGCACAGACCCTTCCAGAAGAGGAGCAGGTGGTCTATAAGGCGAAGGTAGATGAGTTGACTCCAAGCTTGCGCTACTGTGCTTATAATGTAGGCGAGAACGCTTCGATGAATGATTTGCTTGAAATGCGAGGACAAGGAATGCTGGACAATTTGAGCACCTTGGTTGCTCAGACGAAAACCGAGAGCATGGAAGCGTTCCAAACAACGGAATGGCGTGGTCGAAAGGTTACCGTGCGCCCGGAGAAGGTCCGTATGTTTTTGCTGAGCATTCAGGATTTGGAGAAGAGTATTGAAAAGGCGAATGGTTTCCCAGCAAAAATAGAGTTGCTGGAGAATGTCTTGTTGGATTGCAAGGATGCAATTTCGGCCATCAAGGATGAAATCAAGCAGGACCCGAAGTTGCGCTCGAGCAGCGAATCTGGTACCATGACTGCAACTCAGTACTTGTTGACTTATTTGTCCTATACTAGATTGAAGCTGACATTGGAGAGGAACCTGTTTATGGTTGCTCAAGGAAAGTTGAGCCTGGATGACCCAAACATTCCAGATAAGGCTCAGATTGAAGGTAAGAAAACGAAGCCACAAGATTTGTCACGTTTGTACGAAATTATTCTGCAGAACATGTCGGAAATGCAGCAACTGGCTGGTATGGAATCCGATGCTGCGTACCAGTCGGAGATTGAAACCCTGACTCTTACCTTCAAGTCATTCCGTTGCTACTATATTGCCATTACTCTGGTAGCTTTGAAGCGATGGCGTGAGGCCGTGGCCATGTATGAACGGTCAACTAAGTACGCAACGGAAGCGATTGCCTCCGAATCAATCAGCAAAGATTTCGATTTACGCAACGAATTGAAGCAACTCATTCAAACGATCGAGGGATGCAAATTCTCCGCTCACGCTAACAGCGTTTTGGAAGAGGACACCACTGAGGAGTCGGTTCTCTACGGCAAAGCCACCAAATCGTCCAAGCCTCTGTTCGAACGGCTTTCCATGTACAAGGAGGATGCTTCCCTCAACTCGCGGAATCCGAATGTGTTCAAATTGACACCGGAAATGCAGCCGATTCCCGCCAAGCCTCTTTTCTTCGATTTAGCGCTGAACTTTGTCGAGTTCCCATCGCTGGAAGACAAGGTCGAGCTGAAGGGTAGCGCCAAGCAGGGTGCCGGAATGTCCGGATTCGTCAAGGGTTTGTTTAGCTGGGGTGGCAGCGGCGGAAAGTAAGGTGAAAATGGTACCCAGTTTTTTTGTTTTTTTTTTTCTTCTGAAATTAATTATAATATATAATATGAGACCAATAAAGTTCAACGTATTAGTTGTGCCGAAATGGCGTTTTATTTTTCATTGTGCAAAATAGCGATATCAAATATTGATGGAGGGATCCCAAATAAAACTGGTTACATTTTGCCTGAGTGCATCGAAGATTGCATAAATGTTGGCGTTTATGTATAATTACAATTATATTGTACAATTACAGTGAAGCGACAATTGTCACCTCAGGTGAGGTGACTCTCCGTGCAAATCAAATGGAGTCACCTCATCCGAGGTGACATCACTTCACTGTCACCTCACCTCACACGCCGTGCAGAATAGGCCCAAATACATTGAATAGAACACCCCTACCATACATTCATTATCGTATAATTATGGGATAATTCAAAGGATGAATAAGTTATACAACGTCTCACTAATGACACGAGTTTTATTAATCATACAATATTTAATAGAATACAGATATAAAACGGTTACATCGATATTTTGCATAGGAAAAAAATGACGATTCTGCTTGTATTCTCTACGGAAGGTTTGCGGTTGTGGATACAGCGTAAAACTAAACTGATTCTCTCTAAAAGCTTAATCCAACTAATGGGTAGGTATAGTCTGACTTTACACAATTGCCGACTGTCTAAATCTGTGACAATGGCCATTATTCGGGATCTTTTTTATCTTCAGACTCCACCTCCACCAGTTTGGCTGCTTCCCCTTCTTCCACTACGTCTTCTGGTCTGAGGTCCAGCACACCTTTTTTGCCATCCGGGACCCACATTCCGGAGTCTATGCAACGTTTCAAGTGATAACGAGCCTCCTCTTCCGGCAGTTTGGTCATCGCTTCCTGCAGCATGGCAATGTCCCGCGTCTCAAAACAGGCCTGCAGTTCTTTCGGCAGTGATTCAAACACCTCTACCGGATCCAAGCCTCCCGGGCCTAGTCGAGCCTTTCGCTCTTCCTCCTCTTGCTCTTCGATTGCTTTCTGCAGCTTTTCCTGGGCACGCTTTCGAATGCGTTCCTTGAATGATTCGATTTCCGCAAGGAACTGGTTCTTGTACTCGACCTCTGCTACCTGTATGCGCTGGAAGAATGACTCCAAGCACGCACGCGGATCGACGTCCAACTTAAATCGAAAATCAATCAATTATTGTACCACTCTAAAATCAAATCACCTTTTTACCTGTTTAGCAATATCCAAAATATACTGCATACAGATGCACTGATGAGCAACGTGGGCCATCAGTTCATGCTTGTCCTGCATCTCTAACTCAATGCACCAGATCACCAGGTAGTTGGCCGTATCCTCGCAGACCAATTTGTGATTGTCGCGCAGGAACTTCTTCGAGTCTTCGTATTTCTTCAACATACCATACTGTTTTAGCTGCTTCTCGTGTTGTTTGATAAACTCCTTCAGATTCAGTTCTTTTTGATCCTCCGTCAGCTCTTGCTTCTTGTTGATCGCACTTTTGTTGATAACAGTTTTTTGAAATCCTTCCTTGCTGATCGTATCCACATTCCACGGTTGCAGCTTCTCCTTCTTCTTCCACTCATCTTCTTCCTTCCGCATCTTGGCTTGGTCCTTCTCCAACTCTTCCAAGCAAATCTTCAGTTCGTCCAAATTTCCTTCACTCTTCTGAAGCTTGTCTTTCACCTCCTTCAGCTTCTTCTCGGTGGCCTGCTTCTTCTCATCCAACTTTTTCTTTTCATTCTTATGTTCCTCCATTCGTTCGATGCGAGCCTGGTGACGCCATCGGAACAACGACGGAGTATCAATATTCGGATGAGTATCATCTTCATCATCCGAGATCTGGCACAAAGAGAAAAAAAAATCTTAATAACAATGCACGCCACGATTCGAAATTTTCCGGCACTTACCTCGATATCCTTCCACCTACTGTAATCGACCATGTTTGATTCAGGATCTGCTACCACTGCTATTAACTATAATATATAATGCTGATAATAATGAGCGGATTTCACGCAGCAATAACAGCGAATTTGTTTGTCCTTCTGTGTTTCAACCAGAAAAATTCTTCTAGAATGTTACAGCACGCAGCAGCCAGCAGTTGACGGATTGAAGTTTGATTCCAGAAAAAACACCATGATGAGTAGACTCACCTTGAAAAAAAACAACGCCTCTCAAGCGAACTGTCAACGTGCGGACCCAGGTGGCGGAATTTATCCAGACTGCCGGTCTAAAGCACAGGGGCCCATCAAGGGATTCGGAAAACAGTGATGTTGAAAATAAAAAGTTCTGGGTGGCAAGTGCATTTATGATTTTAAATTCCTGGTTTCTTCTATAAAAAAAACACCTGGGTTTAGAACAAAGCTTTAAATCTGTCAGTTTTGCAGATTTCCTATAAATCTTCTACATGGGAGAAACGTCTTAAGTATATTATATATGTATTTAGTAAATTTCTTCAAATTATATGCTTCGTATGCATACACAGCAAAAAAATGTATTATCGATCAACGTAATTCAAGCTGATGTATGAAATAATGATGTAATAGCAAAACGCAGATACAATATTACATCAATGGATGTAATTTTGTTCGCAAAACCGATGTACATTGTACAATGTGATATTACACAACCGATGGATTGACCTGGTTGCAGCAGTTTCGATGTAATATTCAACAACTTTTTTTTTGCTGTGTACTAAACGGGTTTGAAAAACAGAAGTAAAATAATTATTCCATTAAGTATATTCAACATTCGCTTAGCTGTGTCGACTTTTCACCAACCAACGGACATCCACTAGTTAAAATGCATATCATGCGTCAAACCAGATAGTAAAAATATTAAAAATACATCAGTGCTCATCCAGTTCATGTCAACAAATTAAAATTAAATTTTGACAGATAAATAACCATAAACTGAGTACACTGAAGTCTTTTTTTACACGGTTTTTTTTACGCGGTTTTTTTTTACACGGTTATTTTTACAGGGTTTTTCGCGATTTACACGGTACGTTTTTAACGATTTCTCGACAACGATACAACCTATCGACTTGCTTCCAATCACATTTTCCGTTTCAAGCTTAAAATTTACTGAGTGTATGATTGTGTCAGTGATTTGTTTTCATCGGGAAAATTTTCCGCTATGAAGTTTTTTTTCCCCGATGAAAACATTTTGCGTATACGTATACGTGACGTAGTGTGCGTACGATAAACGTCAGCAATCTCTATAGAATTTCGACTAGAATGGGGTCCGTTAATCGATTTGCTTGGGACCAATAGGCTACTCAAATAGTGAGAAAATTTTAAATCGTTGCATACAAATTAATCTATATTCGCTTTGTAATATTTTTGAGTGTATATTATTTTGCACGCATCACACATAAACAGTAACGTCATCATTTCAAACCAACATGCATCTGTTAATTATTTTTCATATATTTGCTTTAAAATTCCCGGTTTTTCCTAGTAAAAAAAAATCCCGAAATTTTCCTGGTTTTCCTGGTTTACTTGCCACCCTGAGTTGACAACCAGCGTTATGGCGTAGTAAAGTCAAAGAAGGGGCAGAAGATGGTATTTTATATTTTAAGTTTATTATCTGGAATGAGCATGCTCTCCATGATGAATATTCAAAAAAAAAATGAACAAAACTTCTTGTTCTTCGATTCATGTAATTTTTCAAGTGTCATTGGATTTTTTAAAATATGTCTTTAGGGTGGCCCTCTGGCAACCATCTTTTGTGTTTAACTATTTAAATTCAAAATTCTGATGAAAGTCATCTTTGAGAGACTTTTGATACATTATGAGACGCATGTTTTGTTATAAACAAATCGGCTGTATCTTTTTTTATAAAGAAGTTATATTTAAAAAAATAACAAAGACCTGTTGATTATATGAAAGTTAAAATAATAACATATCTCTAATTTTATGAAACTACCGAATACCGTCAAAGTATATGTGTTATATTTGCTTCAACCTGAGATAACAACACATAAAAAGGGAGTATTTTTATAAGAAAAACGCAGCATCAGCAAAAGGTATCGACAAGTTCTGCGTGGCAAATATTGCTTCTTCAAAAGTTATCTCAAAACTCTCCTTAATAAAGATATAAAAAAAATTAGAGCAAAAAAACTGTTTTTAGAGACACCCCAGTCAATTCAGGGACATTGCTTTAAATCGGTCAGTTTAAGAGATACAAAGTTGCTTGAAATTGGCTGAGCTACAACTACTAATTCTGGCAAAATTTGAACTCATTTGCATGCGAACTCATAGTACACTGACCCCTTGAACTTTATGTGGGAATTACCATGGGAAAAGTCAACTTTTTGTCCTAATCGTTCTAGCCCTTCGCTGTAGTAGTATGCGGAAAAGTTTGCTACACACTCAGAAAAATTCATGTAAATTTAGGTGCTCTGAGACTGACATATACGAGCTTCAATTTTGACATTAAATTGAGTCATGATAGACGTGAAATTCAGCTCAATCAAACGTTTTTTTCGTCGAGTAACACTCGGTCTCGGAGCACTTAATTTTACATGACATGTTTGTTTACGTCTCATTCTTTATGTCAAAGATGGATTCCGTCACGTGAAAAATTAGTTATTGCTAAGTGTGTATCTGTAATAACGTGAAATTTTCACAGCTGCAATTTTGCTCGCAAACTTTGAATTGAACGTCAGGATAATTAGTTATTAATTAACTAGGAAGATGATATTCTGCTAATATGCTCCATAAACTCACACTTAAAAAAATTAATGTAAATTTAGGTGCCCTGAGAGTGACATATACGAGCGTCAATTTTGACATAAAGTTGAGTCATAGCTGACGCGAAATATAGCTCAATCAAACGTAATTTTACTCGGAGCACTTAATATTACATGACATGTTTGTTTACGTCTCATCTTTTATGTCAAAGACGGATTCCGTCACGTGTAAAATTAGTTATTTCTAATTGTGTACTACGTCATAAGTGCAAGATGCAGTGTATCCCTGAAAGCAGTCGATTAATAATATCAGAAAGCTATTGCTTGTGAAATCAATTAATAACTAATTACCTTGAAGTCTAATCAAAACGTGGTCTTGAGCAAAGATGTAGCTGATAAAATTTCACATAAGAGCAGATAGCAAGCTTTTCCGTAAACCATTATGGTGAAGGGTTAGAACGTTGATAACAAAAAGATCACATTTCCCATAGTAATGTCCATATAAACTTCAAAGGCCCAGTTCAGTATGAGTTCGCATCCAAATAGCTCAAATTTTGGGAGAATGATCCAGGTCCTGATTTAGAATCAATTGAGCCTGCTGGAGCAAAATCGATATTTCGAATAAATTCTAATGTATATCATTATTTCTGCAAATAATAAAGATACATTTTTAATTCCAATGATAGGAAGAACCAACATCAAAATGGGAGCTTAACTGTTATTAAAAACTTTGTAATAGATACATTTTTTCCCTAATGTTTCAATTGCTCAAAATGTATCTTTCCTGCTAAATTCCTATTCTGGACCAGTCACCAGAATTCCCTTGGCATGTCATTTTTTTTCCATTCAGTTTATTTGTTAATGTCAAATCTCCAAAAGGACTCTATTGAGCTGAAAATCAGTGAATAATTTCATAATAAAAATACTATTCATGAGGAACAATACTTATGAGTTCTTCTTGTTTTTCTTGGGAGGCGACCGAGATTGTCACTAAAAATTCTTAGGAAATATCCACAGAATTTCCTTTTTAATTGGGTTCTTTAATTTTAAAAAATATATCGGTTTTTATATATCATCTGAAAGAGCTTCGTTTTCCGAGCACAGCTATATTTTTTTCGAATCCACATACTTTCATCTTGATTTTTAAATCAAGATTTAAAGCAAAATAATAACTTCACTGTTTGACACTAAACTGACAAACTGACAGCTCGCTCCCATACAAAGTGACACCGAGGGGTGCTAATAAGGTGATTTTTGCAAATGTAATCGTACTTATTTAAAATAGTTCCAATGTACCAAAATTGATGAAATTTTGGGTTTGGGTTCCATTTTTAATACAGATTACGAATATGCATTTACCTCAATACCCTTAAAGAACCCAATTCTGCTCGGAGTTTCATTTTTTAGTCAGATAATCATTTGGATTTCACTTTAAAATTCTACTGACCTTCTTCTCACAATCTCATGAAGTTCTACTCATAACTACCATGGAGTTCTCCATAAAATTCCCCTCACAAAGCCCATGAAATTTAGTGAATAGATGAATTTAGTTTAAAACTGATTAATTAAATAAATACGAGTTCCCCATGTTCTCATCGGGACTACGAAACACACCGATCTTGTCAGCCCTCTTTTGATTTTTTTTCTAATGTTCTACGAAACCCATTCGCATTTTCAGTGGTCTTATTGCATCAAAGTGTACCTCAACATCAATCTTGAAGATGAATGAGAAAGATTTGGACTGATTAAATCGGGAAATTACTATTTCAATTTAAGTGAAGACATCAATATGAACATCATATACATACATATCAACTGATATTCGATTTAAGACAACCGTTCTGGGATGGAATTTAAGCCCCGTAACCTTCAAGGGCCACCCACATTAGATCTGGGGGGGGGGGACGTGCTATCAAATCAGCCTACTGATCATTCTTGTATGAAACTGGCTCCAAACGTAAACAATCGCTGTAGGTTTCTTATGGCTTGTTTACGTTTGGAACCAGTTATGCGAGGCATGCGAGGTAGGCGACGATTGTTCGTATTTGACAGCCACCTCCCCCCCCTTGCATTAGATCCGTTTGCGTTGCGTTGACGTAAATTTGACAGTTAAACAATACATTTAGCTGTCACTTTGTCGCAACGCGTCCGATCCGGATCTAATGTGCGTGGGCCAGTGTAAGAGGCGTAGAAACTATAGTCGCTATATTTATAGTCTGGCGGATAGAATCTCGGGAATCAATTGAGTTGTCAAATAACGGAACCAATCGAGCATATCACGACCAAGAGCAGAAAAGAGCACATCAGCTTTTGAGAACAAACCTTCGGAAACCCCTTTCTCGTGCTTCAACGCTCGCCTACGCAAACCAACAAGGTTGGGGAAAGTTTCCC